CAGTAGAAATATTTTCTCCGGAGACAATAAAAAAGACTACGTTTTCTAAGAGACAAAGAGAAAAGTTTTATACCCAAATCAAATCAGAATTCCTGCTTTCCATGCAAGAGACTACTGACAAAGAATCCAAAATCATACCGTTAAGAAGTTTCCACGATTCTGGCCATCAGCACGAAAGTAGTTGTTCACCATGTTGCCTGGAACACCAGCAGGAATCTCCTTGCCCACATCTGCCCGTGGCACAACCTCTGCCCGTGGCACAGCCGGACTAGAATCCTGAGAAGGTCCATGCTTTGCAACCTCTTTCTGGTTCTGAAGAGCCTCAGTTTTGTTTGTGTTGGGATTCGGATTTGGAGCTTCTCCACTCCCAAAAAGGTAGCCCAAAGAGCTCTGTCCGCCACCATTGCTGATGCCACGACCCATGATTCTCGAGTTGAACTCCAGTGCAGAGGAACACAAGAGTCTGCAGCCTTTTTCCCTTATTAGATCCACTTGTAATAAACTTCAACCAAAATTCTAAAGTTGAAGCCTTATAGAAACACCCAGCAGTGTGTCAATCAAAAACTACAAACATTTATAACCATCCGCATACAAACTATTATTCATCAATAACTCGGTGTTTTTGTCACAACAGATTAAAGCAACAAATAAGATAACTACCAGAATACGAGCCCAAAGCTGCCATACATCATATTTTTAAACCACTAGAAACCAGAAAAAATAAAAAGATGAAAAAAAAAAAAGCGACGAAATTAAGGAAGAACCTAACTGAACCATAACCGCAAGGAAAACTAGGATTGATGATGGAGCATATAAGATTACGAATAATGGTGACAGATAGACACTCTCAAACTTCTTAATCCAATCCCAGTCACAATGAAACGGCGACTACAACAGTGTACTTGCTATTCTCTCTCGATCCCATGATAATAATCCCTAAAGCAGCATATACACAGGGTAAAGTTTTACCTCGACTTCAACATGTACTTCCAAAGAAATCTCAAGACATGCTTAACACAACCTCGCTGAATTCTTTACGAGAATTGCGTCACCAAATATGTTAAAAGGGGAAGCAAACACCAGATCAACAAACGACCATGACGAAACATTTTAACGAAAAGCGTCTCTTTCTAGCAGTAAAATTCTAGATCTAACTTCTAAGAAGCACCGCTGTCACATCGATGTTGCATCTCCACAGATTCGCTGAAGATAATGCTAAAACAATGAATAACAAACACGTAATAAAGCCGAACATACGGAAATGGCAAACACGTCAATTTTTCCCATGAAAAACACAGTAAAGGAAGAAACAGAAATGGCGAAGGAGGTAGCTCTCTCACCTGCTAGGTTGCTCTGTGAAGCAGAAACAAAACTGAAGAAAAGAAGAAAACGTTTCCTTTTAAAATAATTTGAATGGGCCCAGTAGAGTTCTTTCTTCTTTCTTCTTTCTCCTTTTAAGATTTGTGCTTCTTATTTATTTTATTGTTTTTAATTGAATTATTTATTCTATTATTAACCCCATATTTCTCTTTTCTAAAAAATAATAAATATCATATTCTTAGAAATTAAAATATATATATATCTATTTTAATTGGATCATTATAATTTAAGGAAATAAAAAGTTTCTTGGAATGCTTTGCTTTATTAAGCTTTTAAATAGAAAATAAAACAAATATAAAAAATTGTCACACCGATTTTTCAATTAGTAAAATAATAACATATTAGAGGATGACAAAATAATTTATAAGAAAAACTGAGGTATATCTATAATTTATTTTTTTTTCTTTATACTTGTAGCTAAATAAATAAAATAATAATTAGCACTTCTCTTCTTTTTTTTTCCTATATTTTCGAACAGTATATAATATATTTTAAAAAAAAAATTTGATTGTTTTACTAATTAACAAATCTATTTTATTTATTTATAAACCAAAAAAAATTACATGTAAATTTTAAATTTTTTAAATTTTAGTATAAATGTTGATAAAAAAACTTATAATATCTTACTTATAATTTTTATATATAAAAATAAAAATAAATTAATATGTTTATAATAATTATCTATTCAAATTTTTAAATTAAATTTTAATTTTTAATTGATCGTAAATATATTTTTATAATAATTATTTTATTTAATTTTATATTTATAGTTAAAATAATAATATATCTAATAGTTATCTATTTAATATTCTAAATATAAAAATATAATTAATCATAATATTTATAATAATTATCTTTTTAAAATTTTTAAATGTAAAAATATAATTTAAATTTTCAGTTGATTACAAATAAAAATAATAATTATATACTTCAAATTTTACTTCAAGTGATAAAAGTTGTCTATTTAAATTCTTTAAATATGGAAAGATTAGTTTAGATTTTAGTTAATTATAAATATATAATAATTAGTTATTTCAAAAATTAAACAAAAAAAACTTATGCATTGTAACACCCAAGTGTTATTATTTTTATTTTGTAATTATTTGAATTTTTTTATTTTTAATTAATTTAATTTGATTTAATTTAATTTAATTTTATAAAAATAAAAATAATAATAATGATAAAATTAGATAAAAATATTATTTGGATTTAATTGAAATTGATTTTGGAAAAAAAAAAGGGTGAAAATTTGGATTATGAGGGTGTTTTTGAAAAGAAAATCAGAAACGGGGGTCAAAACGCAATTTAAAAAAGTTGTGCCACGTCAGCACCCTGTCAGCAGCCACGTCAGCGGCCCGGTCAGCAGCCCCGGCCAACCAGGACGTGCCGCATGGCAAGGAAACGCTGACCAGGGGACGGGTCACATGGGCGATCCGCGTGCGCGCGATCGGACGACCCAGATCCGTTCCCGCGCGCACGGACGGCCCAAATCAAACGTGCGCACGAACGGCCCAAATCAAACGTGCGCACGGACGGCCCTGATTCACGCACACGGACGGCCCAGATTCAATCAGGCACAGACGGCCCAGATTGCATCTCGATGGACGACCCAGATTTAATCCCAATTAAATCGCGATCGAATGGTCCAGATTCAATCTTGATGGATGGTTGAGATTAAAAGGCAAAGGGTATAAATAACCCCACCCACACCTGACCACAGAAACCCTAGCCGCCAGTGCCTCGCCGGAGAAGAAGAACCAGACACC